CAGAAAAAAAAATCAGACCATCCCCAGTCATCCTAAAGCTGTAAGCTGCTGATGTGGTGGGGCTTGTCCCAAAGCTGCTGGTTACATCACCATGAATCAATGAATCACCATCATTGAATGTTGGTTAAACAAAAAAAACACGACATATTGACCGCGCTTTCATCACCACGAAGTGGTTACAAATCCACCGTTTTGCGGGTTCAATCCCAACTCTCGTTTCTGACATCACCATCTGTGCTGGCTTCTCTCCAATTTTTTTCTGTGGTTCGTCCTGACCACATGACCAGGTAGTTGGCACGTCAGCATCCCAAATTTACCAATTTGAGGGATGGTTATATAAACCCTCCAAAAACTGGGCGGTTTATGACATTGCTTTGCACACATTAACAAACATTATCCCATATATTGGAAGCTTTCAAACATGGGGAGACCCAAGATTATCCAAAATTGGACCGGTTAAAAAACCATTTGAGTATTGAAACGCATGGTGTCGAAGGTACCTCTATTTCAGGAAACCTCCCCCGCGATCCAATGGACCTCGCTGACATTCGAGGTCTGATAGTTGGCGCAGTCGTAGCGCAGCAGCGGGGAACAATCCTGTGACCTGAAGGCAGCGACAGATTCCGATCTGAGACATGAAGGGATTTCACCACCCATAGGATCCATGGTGCTGCTATATCTGGTAACATGGATCCCATCAATATATCCCCTTTATGTTAGTATATATACCAGCACCATGGATCCTATGGGCCATGAAAAATTGAGGTTTCACCACAGAAAATCGGGAGTTCACCATGATACATGTGGATTTAACCATGAAACATGGAGGTTTGACCATGAGAAGATGGTGATTTTCTCAGGTTCCAGGCACATAAACACAGATCAATATATAATCAATACCATACATACATATTGCATGAAAATATATGGAGGTTTCCTAAAAAATAGGGGGTACCTATTATCCAGTCATTAGACCATGACTTAGTATTGAACCCCCAATGGTATACCCATGGTTTGGCATTGCCATCGTCCGCCAACTCCCAAGGCACACGGAGCAAGGCTTCGAATCAGACTGCACAATGTCAACGCACAAGTCTTGCACGTAACCTCGGCCCACGGCTGTTGCGATAGCTGATGCCAAGTGACCACAGTTTCCATAGCTAAGTGGGTTGTCACTATATAGATCGATCACATAGATGAACTATGCTTTTTGGTTATATATATATAGAAAATTAACTATGCTCTATGGTTTAACTATGCTTTTTGGTATGGATGAGTTGGTTTATAAACGGGCACGCGCCTGTTTGAGTGTGTCTGAAAATACTGCAGGCCCGAATTCCAAATGTGCCCTTTGGACTCCACTTTCAAACAAACCCATTTAGCGGCTACCAAAGACCCTATTGGCTGGCTAGAACTCGTTCCAACCTGAATTTGAACAATAGTCCCACCTAGGAATGATACATCACCCGTAGTACACCCAGCAACTTCTCGGTTGAACTTGACAATGGGAATCATCACCATCCCACAGCTCCAATTCTTTGGGACCCCCAGATTCTATAGATCCAGAATAGATCTATAGTTTATTTGCTAAAGCATCACAAGAATTTTTCGGATCAATACATCATATTCCAGTAACTATAGTAGATCTAATGTAATGGATACACCAATAACACCACAAACAAGTCAACAACAGAATGGTGAAACTTCCCACAAACAGTTAGGGGATGTTTCATCTTGGGTACCTAACCGATGGGCCAAGGTACTGCGATAGTAGAGGTGGTTGTACAAAGTTTGCCTCGGACAAAAAACACAGTTTGGCAAAAACGATGCCAGTCTCCAACTGGTGCGTTGCTAACCTTAAAATCATTTCAAGTATGCTAACCCGTAAATATGCCATACTTATTGTCATGTATCGTCTTTAAATAGATATGTCATAAGATTGGTGATGTACCCTCTGGTAATTTAACATAGCTATTGGAAATGACCATTTACAGTGGATTTTCAATGAAAAATGGTGATTTTCTATAGCTATGTTAAATTACCAGAGGGTACGTGTTGTTGTATACCATATATGCCACATAGAATGTTGAAACGAAGCCAACTGTCCTGAGCGCTCTTTTTCGCGCAAGCACTGCGCGATTTTGATCCCCGGAACTGGACGCCATGGCGCACCAAGAAGAGTTCTTGGTGCAACTTTATACAACTTTCTTGTCACACCATACTTACCATCCCATGATTTGTCAGTTCCCAACCATGTCTGTGTTCAAATGCCCCAGAGAAACATAGGCAGCACACCTTCCAAAAACACCCGCCAGATCCATCCAGATCCCCCTAACCAGGCGCCGCCGGACGGCTAAACAGCTCCATCCCCCTGATAATAAACACCCGGAGTTGTTAATGTTAGGGTACTTAGTATTAGGATGCGAAGCTTCCCTCAAATACAAAATGACAAGCCACAGAAACACATTAGAATTTTCGATTTCAATATCAATTAATTAAATTCCTATCAACATATACGATCATATTGCCAAAAATTGGATGTCGAAGCTTTCCCCAATTATTGAATCAAGCACTTTGATTTATAACAAAACACATACTTGTTCTATTTCAAAATCGATTAAATCACTTTTCAAAAATTAATTAGAATATTGACAAAACATGGATTTCGAAGGTTAAACTAAAAAAACCTTCATTTAGAAAACAGATTCTGACATGTTTGATTTTAAAGGGTCATAGAAAAACACCGTGTTGAATAGCTTTCATTATGAGGTGAAACCCTCAAATGGGACCTTCATTTTTGCTGTCTAAAGGGGGTCAATTTGGCCAAGTTCAAATTTCCCAAAATTGAAAACGGGCCCTAGTTCTTAATATGTGGGGTACATTTAGCAATAGACGAAAAGGAATACCCTACTCTATTGAGGCGGGATGTAACCAGGTATGATGGTAGACCATGTGTACGCCCACCGTGAAGCTCTCCAATCCCATCAGTGTATCACTCACTGCATCCGCACCAGTCACTGCCAAGACGCTTGATGGGAAACTCAAAGTGCGCCGTAACCAGGCCCAGTAGACCAAGTCGGAGACCGGCCGCCATCCACCATGGTGCCCAATGGCGTCCCCCTAAACCGTCATAGATCTGGAAAACCCCTCAATGTGTAGATCATTTTCCATAGAAAACATGGGTTTTCATGGGGGTTTATTGCAGGGTAAGGGTTGAGATGAGTCGGTCACAGTCTGTCATTTTTCGGGAATGCGTTGGTGACCAAGGCCATTGGTTGGTGGGGTATGGATGCTGACCTACTTCAGAAGCTGCCCCCTGACTCCAAAAGTGCCGGTCTCAGTGACTTCTACTCATCCATGGCATCCATGGCACATGCGCCCAGCTATATCCAGCTATGAGAGGTCTATCCAACTCTGGGATTTCCACCTTGCTGCCGGGCATGACCTTCTGAGCTCAGTGACGCGGCAAATTTATGGTGGACCAAACGGCAAGCGAACCAAGCCATGTCAGACATCTCATCCACTCAACGACTATGAACCCACACCGAGCCAAGTCAACCAACAGGCGTGCTGGTTTTAACCACTGTGCGGGTGGAATTCCCAAAGCTCTGACGGAAGTAAAACCCATCAGTTTCTGATCGAATCGGCAGTTATGATCGGCTTTGACCGTATTTAAACAAGTTTTGATAAAACTTATATTATATATGTTTTTTTTTTAAACTAGGGGTACCCCAAATCAATAAAAAGTAGACCATTTCAGTATTGAAACCCGCATTTTAGGACATCTCCAAACGTATTTGTCACTGCAATTTGTCCAACCTGTGTACCTGGAGGATCATCCCACTTATAGTATGTAGTTAATAACCCTGGTGAAGATAAGTCCCCATCCGGTGGATTCTCCCATTTCGAAATGGGTCAGAAAAAGGGTCAGTCATAACCCCAAAAAACGAGCCGCTGAGAAAATCCGTGAACAATCCTCCAAGTAAAACACAAAAACAAATTACTTTACTTCGTGTGATCCCCACCATGACATTTATACATGTTCTTACTGGCACATCTTCTGGCATTCTATCTGACATATCTTCTGACATTCTATTTGGCATTCTATCTGGCATATCTTCTGGCATTCTATCTGGCAAATCTTCTGGCATTCTATCTGGCATATCTTCTGGCATTCTATCTGACATATCTTCTGGCATTCTATCTGGCATTCTATCTGGCATATCTTCTGGCATTCTATCTGACATATCTTCTGGCTTTCTATCTGGCATATATCTTCTGACATATCTTCTGGCATTCTATCTGGCATTCTATCTGGCATTCTATCTGGCATATCTTCTGGAATATCTTCTGGCATATCTATCTGGCATATGGCATATTTTCTGGCATTCTACCTGGCAAATCTTCTGGCACTCTATCTGACATTTTATCTTCCTACATGAGGTCCGGCAGGGAACACTTGGCGTGGATACTCGCGGTTGAGGTCCGGCAGGGAACACTGGGCGTGGATGGTCGTGGTTGAGGTCCGGCAGGGAACACTGGGCGGGGATGGTCGTGGTTGAGGTCCGGCAGGGAACACTGGGCGTGGATACTCGCGGTTGAGGTCCGGCAGGGAACACTGTGCGTCGAGGGTCGTGGTTGAGGTCCGGCAGGGCACACTGACGTGGATGGTCGTGGTTGAGGTCCGGCAGGGCACACTGACATGGATCGCAGTGGAGCAAGAGGAGGAGGAGGAGGAGGAGAGGAGGAGGAGAGGAGGAGGAGAGGAGGAGAGGAGGAGGAGGAGGAGGACGAGGCAGGAGGCAGGAGGAGACAACTGACAGAAAATCTAACAACCCTCACCTGGCAGGTGGGGAAAAACTGTAATCGCATTGAATCTCCATCAAATCCCATGATTTTTTACCATTTGTTGATAGTGAAATCCCGTGAAATCCATCATGAAATCACCGTTTTGGATCGTAAAAACCTCCAAATCCCAGGGATCCCAGGAAACCCAGGGCCTGCTCCTTGAAAGACATGCGACCGACCTCGTCCCAGTGACGCTTCTGGGGGATCCCCAAGTCACCGGTTTCAATACTGAAGTAATCTGTTGGATGATTTGGGGGTACACTCATTTTAGGAAACCTCCATCATATATCTATATACATACAGTTATGGCCCTTTACCAGTTATAAGTACTTATAACTATGGCCCGAAATACCAGTTATAAGTACTAACAAGTCACCCCATTGATAGAATGTATAATCCCATAGAAATAACCAGTTATAAGTAATAGCCATGGCCTTAACTGTATATTCACTGATATTCACCATATATATATACAGTTTGTAAGCGCGTCACTGCACCCCAGTGACTTCGCAATGTCCGCTGAAATCCACTGGGATGAGCCACCGGGGCGTCCCAAAAATGTAGCATGTGTAAATAAAACTAAAATAAATACACACATATATATATATATATCATAATATACATACATACATATATATATATATATTATAATATATATATATATTATATTATATCCATATATTATATAATGTCTCCACCCATATGTTCCAGGTTTGCAAGTGATCCTGGGTTCCCCATCGGAATATCGGGCGTTTTATTTTTGTTACACGCTCCTTTGAAACAATGGCGGGCAAGTGACTTGCGTGTCCTTGAATAAAACCCATGGTTTTTGTTGAACTTTCACAATTTCAGACCAACCAATGCAATTCCCACCAAGGCATCTTTTGTGAACATTTTGGAGCTCACTGCCGAGATCTAGGGAGATATGTCATATGTCGCAATGACCACACCTGGTGTCAGTGGATCTGCCGTCCTTTATATAATGTAATGATATAACATATGATAATGTTGTCCCACTGGACAAGGCAATCTAAAAGATATTTTATCAAATGTTTTTTTGTTTTTTAAACGTGCACAAAAATCATGCTTCTCACATGCACGCGGAATCTTATTATATATTACTTTACATTTAAGAAAGCACATGGCTTTGACTTCCCTTTCTCCCTTCACAAACTGCTCTGGATTCACCAGTGACGCAGAAAGCTGCGGACTTTGCTCTTCTTTTTCCAATACGCGATCTTGCGCGGTCCCGCGTCGTGTTGCCTCAACTTCCCTTCAGGAATTGTGAAACCAAAGGATGGAGTCAGGTTTTGAAGGCATCTGATTTTGTTTAGGATAGAAAATCCGTGAAAATCCTAGGCCCGAAAGAAATCTGGGTGCCCTTCATCGTAATTTTCCAAAGTCTTTGGGAGCTGCAGCTGCTTCAAGATCTGAAATGATCTGAACACGCCTCCAAAGGTAGATTTGTGAAGCTACTAAGATGAACGTCAAGTGGGTTGTCTTGACCATAGATTTGCTGAAGCCTCAAAACCTGAAGTCACCATCCGACTTCCTGCACTGTATGGCACCCCCAACTTGGCCATAGCTTTTCTTAGACACCGAACCGCCGAACCTGTGAAATTAGCCTTTAATATCCAGCAGCGCATACAAGGATTTCTAGAAGTGGACAGTGAAGAAAACATGTGTTCCATCTATATAAACTGATTTTTGAGCAACCCCAGCCCAGTGCTACCATGTGCTACCCACAATGGTGTTCCACGGTGATTCACTGCTAAACTATGGTTGGTACAGGCTGCAGAGCCCAAAAAGGGTGCCATCATGCTAGGCCTGCCTGTTTGGGCCAACGCACTGCATAAAGGTCTGAAAATAGAGTGCGCACACCCCAAATTGCAATGATGATCAACAAGTGGATTTAGGAATGCCGGATTTTGGGGCAATATGTTGAACCAAAAATGATCTTGAGAGCAAGCTGAGCGACAGTTTCCAAAGAATTTAGTCAACTAGTGGCCTCTAACGATCATTTCAGTCAGGCGGAGGCAAGAAACCAACCTTTTTCCATGGAAAAATGTCTTAACGCAAGTGCTTCAAGCCGCAAACTCGGCAGGCCCCCCTTCGCCCCCCAAAAAATGTTGCCACTGATCCATCTACGCCTTGGGCGAGACGTCTGCCATGGTCAGCCTGATCCCAACCATCCCGACAGGTCGAAAAGAGACCCCTGAAAGGCATCAACTTTTGGAAAAAACGTGAAATCCGAGATAAGTGATGACAAAATATGACAAATGGATAGCACATGATATGAAAAAAAAAATAATATTTGATAATATATATGTATATATAGAAAACGCATGTGTATTGGCAAATCAACATCTGAATCATTGCCCCGCCTCTCAAGGAATGCTGGTAATTGTGTAGAAAATCTCGTCAGGTGCCTCCAGATTTAGAGCATGGCCCCCAGGTTGGGCCCCTATGGGCCCCTGGGTCCCTGAGTGAATTCCACGTTTCAACATGTTTCAAGCTATGGGAGGTAATGAATCCATGGAAAAGACCCACATCCCACGGATCACTTACAGGGTGCGTCTCAAGATTTGGACCAAAGCTCGTCTGCCATTGAAATTGTAATGACTTGGGGGCCCCCTGCACGAGGGAAATCATACAAGGTGATGACCCTATTTTGCTAAGTTGCGTTATGTAGACTATGGTTTATGACGGTTTATGGTGCCAGTATCGTAGAGATATCGAACTAGGTGAGACTAAACCAACAACTTTTCTCAGTCTGGAGGCACCACTTTGTATTGACGCTTGACCGCATTCTTCATGGTTGAATCCCATAAGCTATCCATAAACTCTTCATTTTCTATCATTGGATCTGTATCTATACACTATACCCCATCATATTCGATTGTACAACCTGTTGTGTACAAGCTGGTGCCCCCAGTTCTGAGTTTTAGGAACCCAATTAACTAGTTTGAGTTTGATATATCTATATATATATATACCATAAGTCCCACTTAAATCCACTGGACCTATACTAAAATAAACCAACGTACTGGGGCATCACCTTGTACATATCTATTAGCAATCCCCAAAAACATGCCGAAAAGTGTGTCTAGGATGAGAGTTCCATCATATTTCCAGATTTCCATGGCATATTCTATGACTTTGGGTTGCCAATGCCAAAAAGAATTTTTGTTCATCGATAATTCATGGGGGGTTGGCCAAAGCAAGAAACATAACTAGCGGGTACCACCTTGTATAATGGGCGATATTGGAATGGAATAGAATAGAATACAATGGCTTCCATGGATTTTCCCATGAGATTGTTTTACCAGTTTCCCAGATTTGCCCTCATGTTCCTACAGTTTTTCCTAGACCTCCATATTTTTTGAGGATTTTCCCCAGGGATTTCCCATGATTTACGGTAGCCATCGGGGTTTCCGCCTTGCGATCCTTGGCATGGAGCTCCACGAAGGTTCGGTGGTCTCCCCAGGCCATCAGCTCCTGTCAGCTGACGCTCAACGAAGCTGGCGGAGTCGACCATGATAGGATTTACCAACGAAAGATGACTGGTTGGTGGTTTGAACCCCTCTGAAAAATATAAAAGTCAGTTGGGATTCTTATTCCCAATATATGGAAAAATAAAACATGTTCCAAACCACCAACCAAATGAGGAATTTCTAAACGTAGGGAATGGATGGGTTGGGAATGGGGTTGCTGGGATGATAAACTTACTAGTGATGAAATGGATCATTCCCGAAAATTCCCTGCGTTTAGCACCAGTAAGTTTACTAACGAAAAATGAGGATTTGACCAATGAACAGTGGGATCTTAGATCCCAAAAATATATAAAAAATATGGGATTTGGCGTCATGAAACATTCGGAAGAAATTGAAGAAACACCACCTGCTTAGAGACTCCCCATGGCATCGTTTGTTTAGCTGATCGGGGTTAGATCATGATCCCCTTGATCCCAACCAACATGAACCATTGGCTGATAGATAGATAGATAGATAGATAGATAGATAGATAGATCGATAGAGCGATAGATCGATAGATAGATAGATAGATAGATAGATAAATAGATAGATAGATAGATCGATAGATAGATGGATATATAGATAGATAGATAGGTAGGTAGATAGATAGATAGATAGATAGATACATATCTGTGTGTGTACACATCTTTAAAATAAGCAAAAAATGCAAAACACATATGCAAATACATACATATATATATAAACATGCTTTAAATATACATAATAATCAATGTATGACTTTGTGTGTGTGTGTTTGTTTTATGTCTTTTCCAACGCTAGCGCCTTGCGCGTCTTCAACGGGTCTGGCCGCTCCGGCCCGGGGGGTGGCCAATGCGGTCCCATGTGCGGCGCGCAAATGGGACCCGCCAGAATCTCAGAGGCGCTGGCCTCGTCATTGGATCGGTGTAAGGAAAATTGGCTTGGAAACTCCCCATATTTCCATGGTACCCTCTGGTAAACATACAAAAAACTATGGAACATCACCATGTTTAATGGGTAAATCATGGTAAATCCACTATTTCTATGCCATTTTCAATAGCTATGTTTGTTTACCAGAGGGTAAAAACCCATGGGAAATCGAGAATCACAAAGCCCCTTAGGTGGAAAAATGGCACCACTGCATGATGATACTTATCTCAAGGATTGCCCAACAATTTGCTGACATATATAAATACTGAATGACAAAAATAAAGCAGATTAAAGCAGGCTCACAATCTCCAGCTCCCTTGTTCAGCAACATCTTCAAACATCTTCAAACACTCAGATTTACATTGACATTCCCAGGGGTCCCATTCCCATGGAATTTGCCATTGACAAGGTCAGTCCCCAGCTGTGGACTCCGCGCCGAGCGATTGAGGGCACCCAGGCCCGCTTGCTGCAGGGTGTCCGAGATGCTTTGCCCCGTCGCAGCTGCTTGCTTCCTGAGCGAAGCAGTAGAAATGCTGAAGTGAAGGCCATTTCGGAATCTCCCGTTGTCAGGTCGTGGCCTTGGATCAACCTTGCAATATCCGTATATAAAACACACACACATAATCATCATAATCACACATAAATACATATATATATAGACAGACAGTTAACATATTTTGTTTTCATATGTAAATATATATAATATATTTGCAAAACAATAACATGCACTGTATATATATATACATATTCTATAGATATATTTCATATGTATAAAACATATTTATACTACATAGGTCTCCAATTTTTTATTCAGCACAAAATCAGTTGGCCAAGCATCATGATCCGATGGCCGCTGGGACGCTCGATGGGCCCCATGACGGAGGTCGAACTCCTGAAACGTCAGGGATGTACCCCAACAGCTGGAAGGTTTACTAGGTGGAAAAATATACGGACAATTTATAAATATGGAAAAATCTGTAAATCTATAAATATGGAAGATCTATAAATCAATGATTTAAAGTGGTTTTCCCCCTTTTTTCGGACAGCTTCGTATTGAAATAGTTCCCTTTTTTCTTGGGAATTAATAGCCTATAGGATTTAGTGGGATGTATGGGGTTTAACTAACCATCAAAGGGGGGAAGGGAGATATAATCCCTTGTGAATTTATGAATATTAAAAACCTCCGAGAAACCGATTTGTCCATGTTTGTGTATTTTTTGGGGAGATGAAACCACATCTTTGGGACCATACAATCGGGGTGATTAATATGTGGGAATTGGATTGAACTTGTTTTTAATTGAGATGTTAATAACGATACAACTGATATTGACACTGACACATTGTGTTTTTGCTGGTTTTCAGTATTGATAAAGCTGATATTGATGACCAAACATGGTGCCCGTACTTCACTCTTGAAGTGATATTCATGGGATAATAAATGTGTCATTCGATGGCCTGGCTTAGCTTGAATTTACGCATTTAAGGATGGCTGGACCCAAGGATGAAGTAGGTAGATGAAGATGGTGAGGCAAACAAAATCTATAACGTCCTACGCCGAGAAACTATCTCTTTTAGGAGCCCGAAAAGCATGCCCAACAGGTTATTCAATGATTTTAAATGGTGGTTAGCCCCAAATGGGACTGGAAACATCACTCAGCTTCGGATGTGAACCAGGAAATGTAACCCACCTTCAGTGATGTTCCTCCCTTCTTGGGGGTGCCAAGCATCACTTAAGTTGATGACTAATAGTCAATAGTGTTGACTGATATTACATAGACTGACTATTGACTATTATCAGTGAACACTATTGGATGTTGATCAGTTCAACACATATCAACTATAATATGTTTCTTAATCATGCCCAACGGTGATGTGATGCGTGCCCAAGGAGCCCCTCATTTCTTATATCGTTTTCCCAATGGTTGAGTCACATCCAATGGGTCCCATGTGGGTCTGATGGTTGTCCATGTTCTTCCCATTGCCACCCAAAAAGCCAGGTGCCCAAAAAGCGCCCAAAACTGCCATGCACTGCCTGGGCAAATTGGCTATAGGACTCGGCATAGGTGGTACCTCAGCCGCCCGCAATTTGCAAGCCATGCCCTTTTCTGTGAGAACCAAAACGTGCCAAGGACAAAACTCACCAGACAGTGCGGCAACCCGAAAAGCACCAAAACTTGCACAGGTTGGTTTGCACGGCTTAGCGAATTAAATGGTTGACAACCCATGAAATCCCATGCTGGGGCCGATACCATCAGGTAGTTTAATCTTTTGTCATGGACACTGGCCCATGAAGAAGGTAAAGTGTTTTTTTGTGAAACATGAGCATTTTGCATTGCTGTTCTAATCTACTGGAGGGTAACCAATTACACTCCATTCAAATGGTATATTGATCGACTCATGATGTTCCCACTCTAAAAATCCACATATTTCGTCATTTCGTCATGAAAATCACTCAGCAGATTCAGCAGGACATGTCCAGATCGTCGTAACTTCGACAAGAGGCGTGCACCCTTCTTTTCAATGCGAATGCGTGCCAGCTTCAACTCCTGACGACGGGACGGCGGGTCGGCCCGTGCTGCCTGGGAAACTTGGCCCTGGAAATTCAAAGCCATCAGCAAGTTTAGAAGACCCGACCAAAATTCCATTCAGAATCCTATTGCCGTCCATTAAAAATCCCATCAACATCAATAATCAATAGCATAAAAGAAAAAACTCTTTATTATCCATAATACTGAATATTTTAAAAAAAGTCTAAGATCAAAGATGATCAAAGATCCATGAAAATTCCGTTATCCATCCTTATCAGGTCCTTATCCCCTTAGAGAACATCTCCAACCTTTCGCCCCACCTGTGGCGTAAAAGCCTCAATGGTGAAGGTTTGGGGTCCGTTCATGGCTGGACGGTTGCGCCCCAGCCGCGCCGTGGGGTGCAGGTTGCCTCGGCACGAACGGGAAAAAAAAGGTGTTGGAAGAGGATTGGAATGGGAAAAGATGGGAAAAGAACCAATGTGGATTTCAGTTTTTGGAATTTGTTCAGGGATGAAAAAGCAGCTTTTGGCGAGGAACTATGGGCATTGAACCAGCCTTTATTGGGGACATCATGGTGCTCTAGGAGCCTGTGGCGGCCTCTGAAATTCGGACATCTTGGGCAAACAGAAGCAGGTGTTCAATCATCTATTGAGAAAGGATTTGTCGCCACATGTCTATGCTTTTTTAGATGCAACGGATGGCTTTAATGGGGTTTCTTCCCTATAAGCCTAAAATCACATCCTTAAACTGGTAACTTTCACCATTTCTTTGGTTCCACCAACTCGACCATGACAATTGCCGGAATTCTGCATTCTGCCCCGTCTGCCCCTAGTCTTTCTCAAGAAGTGTGGGTTCCTTTCAATCCTGGATATATTACCGTCAAACGTGAGCATAAGTTCACCAAGGATCACCAAGGCATAAATAGTGAAGTGGGACTGGTCGGTGGTTTCAATCCGTCCCAAAAATAATACAGTAGTCCATCTGGACCATTACCCCATTAGGGTTGAAAACAAAACACATTTCCCTCGTGGCCTCCTGATAAATGCCTAAGAAACGCAAGAATAAAACCATTGAAACAAGAAATTTAGATGTGGGTTGATGTGGCGCTGTTCAGACATGGAGTACCCGAAAGCTCAGGCTTAATCGTTGCATGTGCCATGGTCAAAACATGGCACAGTATATGGGTCGTGGCCATTTGGCTATATATTTGTAGAAATCTTGATGTTGGGTTTTTGTGATTTTGCTAAATGCATGGTGGTGTGATCATCGGAAACATGGTGTATAGGCGGCATAGGGGTCCCCGTGTTGTTTTGATCCAGGACTTGGTCTTTCTTCCGTAAATTCCAGGTGTCCAATTTGTCTATCTATTCAGGGATTGACATATATGGGTGTGTCATGGTGTGTTTGTATACAAGTGCTGAGCTGCCCCGCCTTTTCCGGGGCCGGCGCAACTGGCCGGATTGCTGAAGAAGTAGTACCTGCCGAAGATGTGGACCGCAACTTCCAGTTGGTCAATGGATTGGTTTATGGTCGGTGCCAGAATTATAGAACGGAAGTTGAGGAGTACGAAGGTACGGTTATTTACCGTACCCTGTTGTTCTATAATATTATATAATTCTGTTTTCCTCGGAACGTATGAACAAAACGTATCTTAACTTACTCCTAACTTTTTTCGTCGTTCAATAATTCTTGTTCGTCCTATGTTGTTCTATAATTCTGTGTTCCCACATTTTTTCCACATTTCCCATTTTCGTTCTATAATTAATTTTCTCCGTTCTATAATTAATTTTAGACATGGAGGTGCCAGAAAATATAGACCGGGGAAATTTATTTATAGAACGGAGAAATTTAATTATAGAACGAAATGGGAAATGTGGGAAAAATGGGGGAAAACAGAATTATAGAACGGGGAAATTTAATTATCAGAACGGAAAAAAATAATTATAGAACGGAAAAAAATAATTATAGAACGGAAACATTTAATTATAGAACGGATCCGAATCCGCGCGGAATCGGGATCCGGAGGAGTACGAAGGTACGGTATTTTACCGTACTTTTGTACTCCTGGCTCCGTTCTATAATTCTGGCACCACCTGTAAGGGAAAATCCTAATGGAAACCATTGTGTTCAACGGTTTTTACATGTTTTTACCATCAAATATAGGGGTTTCCGGTTAAAATGTTCCCATCCAATTCTGTGACATAGGCATCATAGGCTTCAGCTGTTAGGGTGTGCTACAAATGAAAGGAGGTGATGCAGTGATGCATCGAAATGCGCATGCAAATACCATCGAAATGCGAATGCGAATGCAATAGAGCGAAAAGGACCTGAAGGTATTTTGGGTGGTCAAAAATTGGGCAGTCCAATAATTGGATTGTTAATACCAAAATGATCATCTAGAATACAAAAAAGAAACTAATTATCATATCATGATTGATTTTAGTATTTAGTATGTCCAATGATTGGTGGTCAAAAAAAACAATACTAAAATCATCGACCGAATCGGTCCCATGGCTGACAAATTTTGATCCATCCCCAAAGTGCGGCGCCTGTCATGTCCGGGTGCGTGTCGCGAGCAACGAGCACGCATGGTGCGCAAGAGCCATTTGAAAAATATGCTTAAACCAGATATTTTAATCTGAAACCAGCAACCAGGATCAACATTAATGATATATATCTCCATTTGATTAAAATACATCAACATATCTATACACACAGTTATATATATATATATGTTAAACATGTTTAAACTTATATATTGTAGTTGTTGTATATATATATATATCCTACTTAGATGCTTAAGTCCCCATCCAGTTCCCCTTCGCTCTGGAACTTCAATGGGCACTTGTCCCAGCCGCTGGACGTGAAGCCCGAGTGCTGCAACGCGGGATCTTCCGTGGGATCATCCTGAGTTCTTCCGCGAATCACAGTGGTTATCCCAAAAAATCCCAGGGGGAAGACCTTGGTCTTTCTGTTTTCTGTTTTCATCAACTATGGGATGTTAATGGGATGTAAAGGTTTATAGGTGATATATCGAACTAGTTATATAATCTGGTTGGTGGTATACCTACCCCTTTGAAAAATATGACTTCGTCAGTTGGGATAAATTCCCAACTGAATGGAAAAATACAAACCATGTTCCAAACCACCAACCAGTTTTCTGTTTTCAGAAAACTCGAAATCTCACCACTTTGGCAATTTTAAGGCTCGAGCTAGTCATAAGATGTCATAAGTCGTTTGTCGAGACATTGACCCCCAAAAACCATGGGAATTTCCATTCTTTTGGGCACATCCCTGGAAATCTCAGCGACATATGCCTTATATATGGTAGGTACCTCCAATTTAGGTACCTGAATGGCAATCCCAGCAGCTGGCTTAGACTACCTCAACCCCAATGCTCGTAAGTCTCTGGTAAATGTTCAGCTATATTCAAAAGGCCATGAGGCCTATTTTTGTGGTAACTGCTGAGCGTCATAGAAAAAATGTTCCCGACCCCCTTGAATAATCTTAACAATCCTATACCCTCTCGTAAACTATTATATAGCTATGGAAAATATCGTCACGTTGAATAGTTATAATACGCAATTTTAAGCACATTTAGTAGCTAAATCCACTATAGATGGCCATTTTCAATAGCTATGTAACAAATTGCCAGAGGGAAACTATCATCAAGCCCCATTAAAACCCCATAATTGATGGCAAAACCCCCTTAAAGTCACCATTACATCCCATTAACATCCCATGGTTGAGTAAGTTAGCTCTATAGTCTATAGATACGATAGTTGTTATATTGTTTGTTGGTAAATCTCAATTGATTCGATTAATCACCATGCCGATCAAATCCCACCATGACGGCTCGCTGATGCGCGCCTCCTTAGGCATGCTATACTCGGCAGCGTGGACTGCGGCAACGCGATCCTAAGTTTAAAAAACACATGGGAAAAGGTGAGGAATCCATTGGAAAAACATGGGAAAACCCATAGGTTTTATGATGTTTTATGATAATTTCATGGGATCTAGATGGGATTTATATGGGATCTAATGGGATCACCATCGGAAAAATGGTGATTTTTTTTCCTATGAAACATGGGGATTTCATGGAATTGATGGCTGATGACCATGATAGCTAAGTTGGTGAGCATCACTCCACCTTCACTATGGTTTACGCAAATAATCATCGTATTCATGGGCGTGATAAACCAAGAAACGTTTAACGCCACGTTGGGGGTTCCACCTTGTGGGAATCCAGGGAAAACCCTTCGACGATCGCGAATGATGAAAATGAGGGGATCATGTGAAAGTTATATTAGTAAGGGTATATGGACAAAGGATGCTATAAGATTATATATTAATATCAAAAAAATATTGATACCCTTATTAAGATCAGGGTCATGAAGGAGGACAAATATGATATTACAATTATTGTGAAAAATGATATTGCCACAAGGTGGTGCCCCCTAGTTATACGTAGGCTTATAGCCCGCATTAACTAGTTCGATATATCTGCAATAGATCCCAGTCAAGCCAGTTATAAAGCAACTTAGTGATAGTATCCTTCATATATATATCTATATCCGTTATATACATATATATTATTAATGTGTGTTTTTCGCATGTAAGTATGAGTAATTAATTGTTACATAATGTATCAAGATGTTACATATATGTTCTGTAGATCCCGATTTCAGATGGGTTCCCAATGGTTCCACCGTTCATCTGGCTGACTTATAGTAATTCACGAACGTGATACGGCCATGTGGGAAAAATCTCCGAATCCAATTCCCATCATTCCAGTGACGTCACGACCTCAGGTCATGATCGAATTCATCCAGATTGATAAATCATTGATATTTACATATCTATCTATCTATCTAATCTGTAATATATATATATATATAAAAATAATAATAATAATTATTATTATTATTATTAAAAATATAATATATATATATATATACATATATATATATACACATTTATATATATATATATATACATATATATATATTACTTTTACTTTTTACCATTATGATCCCATAAACCCATCATTTTTTCTGGTTAGTATCCAATTTCCCATGGTTAAACCCAAATTAAAATAGCCATTCTGCAATGATTCTTCCATGTTTTTCCTACAATTGTTCATTTTCCAATGATTGTTTCCCCCTTATCCCAGAAATGACATAGAGATTCCCATCATTTTCAAGCGATTCTTCATCTTCCCATGATTTTCCATTATTTTCCGATGATTTTCCCATGATTGTTCCATGGAAACATGAAAACTCGCTGGTGCTTCGAGCGACTCTCATCCCACTGTCACTGAAGTTCTGATACTTCTCCTGTACCAGGAGACGGCCACTAGTTGCGGTGACCCTCCGGTGTCATCAAACGTGGCAAACATCCACCGCCACCGTTGATAGCATGAATTTGGAGGTGTCCTAAGATGGGGGGTAGCCCTACATCATGCATTTGATTTTCGGATTTTCGGCTTTAAGCCATCCATTTTGGGGTAAGCCATGATATGATTTATATGGACCCCCATGATCCCTTCATTTTCCCGTTGAAACCGCCATTTCGCCCAGGGATTTTCCATGATTTTCAACTCCACCAGTTTTTCAACAAAGGGGCCAAGCCCCTCAGCTCATTTCGGGGCTTGGCCATGAGTGCCACACCCTGGCCATAAACCGTCCCTAAGATGGACACGGGGATGGAAAGTACGTCCGTTTGCCACACTGTGGTAAAGTTATCTGTGGTAAACCATAACAGTTACCTTCTGGTTATTTAACATAGCGGAAAATGACTCATGTTTTAAAAGATGATGTACCTATATTAAAAGTGATGATTTTCCATGGCGAACTGTTAAATAACCAAAGGCCATAGGATCCATGGTGCTGCTATATATGGTAACATCCCATCAATATACCCCCAATGTTACCATATATACCAGCACCATGGATCCTATGGGAAAGGTATTGGAAAAACCAATGTTTACAGTTATGGCCCTTTACCAGTTATAAGTACTTATAACCCATTTATAGAATGTATAATCCCATTTATAACCAGTTATAAGTAATAAATGGTCTTAACTGTATCAAGTGACTTGCAACTGCAGTCAGTGATGTCAACGGCTGGATCGCCGGATCCCCATCATGTCAACGGATGGCTTGTCATCGCTGTGGGAAGTATGGGGGAATAGAACTAGCAAAATGTACATCTAAGATATATATATATATATATATATATAATGGGGAAAAACATAATAATAATAGTAATAATAATAATGACAATATATATATATATTGTATCTATTGGATACAATTGTGAATATAACTATCTAATATATAACATATGGGAAATGGGGGAATCTAATATATAACATATTATATATAACTATCTAATATATATCATTATATATCTAATGGGATCTAATGGGAATAATTATATTGGGAAAAGAATGGACATATCATGGAAATATACAGGAATCGAATGTCCCCGCCTCACTTTTGACATTCTGCGCCATGTCCCCGGAGTCCCGCGGACCAAGGCCGCGTGAAAAGAACGATGAGGGAATCGGACCACAAAAAGGACTGCGGTGCTGCTGATCATCGCTATTTCTATGGCAAAATGGTCGAGGCTGTTCACAAAAACTCGGGATAATTGGATTTCTAGGTTGGCAAACCCGAGATCTATGTTGAGTTGGTGGGCGCCTTTGTGGATGTTTTGGTCTCTAGTACTTTGGGCATCCTTTCCGTCATTCAAAAACACATCCAGATCATCCAAACTTGGAATTTGGATAAATTTGGATGAATTTTGCATACACCAAAGGAATGATACATGATCTTCATTGATCTTCCACTATTGCTAATGTAATAAATGCAACATGTGATATCCCCCCAAAAAAGACCATCAACCCATGCTGGGATGATCGCTCAAAAATCCGTGATTTAGTTGCAAACGAACACGCAAAAAAAATCGATAAAATTCTACAAATCAATTAATGTCAATCAATTAAAAATTAAAGAAAAATGATCTGATAGAAAAGTCATATAAAAATCACATCTCAGTCCCAACCGTGCTCAAACACCTGCATTCCTAGTGCTTCAATCCCCACGGCTCCGTGCGGCTCCGTGCGGCTCCGCCCCCGGGGCTTTTCGGGGCCCCCGGCGCAATTCTTCCGTCCGCAAAGGCACGTGTGTCACGACCGTCCCGCTGGAGCCCAATTCATATGGAGATTTTGGGCTCAAGGAATCCAATGAGTGGTTTTTTCTGGGAAAAATCGTGGTTTTTCTCATTGAAAATCATGGATTTTATCATGGATTTGATGATGTTTTTTCTCATCAACTATGAGGGACTCCTGCAGGTTATCCCTTCGGATTCCTGCCAAGGGACCATGAAATACTGAACCGAGGGCTAAGTGTGCTCCATTTGCATCCAATTCTTCTCGAAGGTACTCGCATCCAAATACTTACCCCTATAGGGTAAACTAACATATCATATAGACATATACTGGTTGGTGGTTTCAACCCCTTTGAAAAATATTAGTCAGTTGGGATTATTATTCCCTATAATATGGAAAAATAAAAAACGTTCCAAACCACCAACCAGTATATAATAGATGTGGGGCAAAAACACCATTTCAAATTTCTATTCTGATGTTCCGAATGGCAACCCATAGGCGTTTTCCACATCTTCATATGACCAGAGGTGAATGACCGAAGGACCGAAGGTAGACCATGCTGAGGACCAAGGCTTAGGTCACCCCTGCCCCAACCCACGCTGCGGTGATTCTGATCTCCTCTTCGGACGTTGACTCGTGCAACCTGCGACTTCGACCAGTGACTTCCAGGTGAAGCGGGCGAAACAATCACGGGTGAAAAAGCACACATCCCAAAACCATGACATTGTTCAACGTTTAGTATCCTTTAGTGCTGCTATATTCATGAATATAAATTCTGAGGCAATTCAATTCCGGAGAATCCGGATGAATCCGG